CTATTATATATTATAATTATTGCATATAAACTTTTCTGTGAGAATTGTGTATAGATTTTATAGGTTTTATAGGTGTATTGTGGATATTTTTAATTTTAAATCTAATACTTTGACGTTTTTTGTCTTTATAGATATCTAATTAGATAATCTTATTTTGATATACCATTGTTTTTATCACTTCNTCTTTATAGATATCTAATTAGATAATCTTATTTTGATATACCATTGTTTTTATCACTTCAGTCTGTTATTATCGAAACGAGTGTATCTATACATAGTTTAATAAGTACACAGTATAGCTGCATAGAGATATTATTCGTCAATGTTTCTAAACGTTTCTTGAGAATATTTTTGCTACTGTTACATATATAATACATATATTTTTAACTTATTTTTTATACAAAATTGTTTTTTACACTTCAACAAATATGAACTGTTCCGTCTAATGATTAATGATAATCTAATGTCTTGTATAAGGTGATTTTGAAATGTATGTACAACAACGGTATTATGTTCCATTTGATCTCTAATTATGCATATACATTGACACTAAATTATATTTTCTATTTTATAATAATAAACAAAGGGATCAAGAGTGGCATGTTTATTAACCAAGTGGAATCTTTGAATTTCATCATGTACTACAAAATTATAATTTTCTGAAAAATAATAATAATTTTTCTTCTTCATTATTATGATCAGCAAATGAAGATTGTCATAAATCAGTGTATGGATCTTTTTCTAAAAATTTAATTAATCTTGCTAATCTATATCAGAATAAGATTATCTAATTAGATATCTATAAAGACAAACAACGCCAAAGCATTAGATTAAAAATTAAAAATATGTAGTAAAATTAATACCTTTTCAGCTTGGCATCGAAGCTAAAAACTGGAATGACTTTTTGTATTCTATACGTAAAAAGTATTTGAACTTAGAGAGAAATGTCTTTTGTGTAAAATTTTAACTGTTTTATGTGTTATCATAATTTTTTAAGCTTATATTTTAACTAAAACGGTATTGTCTTAAAGGAAGAGAAAGTTACCCTATTTAACCATAATATCTATTACAAAAATATTAAATTATAAAAAAATCTAAAAGTGAATTATCAATTATTTACAGCATTAATGAAAATTCAATAGATATTTTTAAATGAAATGGCCTGCCCTTTCAAAAATAAATTTTTGAACGTCCAATAGTGTATGATAAATTACAATTTCAATTTTGAGACTAAATACTCAAACACTATTATAGCTTTAACACTTCTCTTGTAGGCGACAGATTTAGTTAAAGAAGACGGAAAAATCGAATTANAACAGATTTTGTTAAAGAAGACGGAAAAATCTAATTAGCTCCTATTTAAACTATACACTTAATTAATTTGAATCAAGTTACTAAAAAAAAAAAATAATAAAATTATGTATTTATAAATAGGCGAAAAAAAATGTTATTTTTTTAAAACATCATTTACAAAAGTTATAAGACGTTAAATTTACGTACATTAAATTGATTTTTAAGTGATACTAAAATAGTAATCTAAAATAATGCAATTTAAATTTTTTGTTTACTTAAAAAGTACATTTGATATTAATGTATTTACTTTAAAACACATTAACGTTAAAATTTCATACTTTTAAAATAAGTATGAACAATCCAACCGATTTTTAACACGCCTATATTAGTTTCACCTGTATGTATAGGCCAGTCAACGAAGGAAAAATGGTTGAAAAAATTCCCAACCAAATTTTTTTTTTTTTAAAGTTGAATTAAGATATGTTTAATGACATACTAAAAGTTCTCATCTATTGGACTTGAGCTTATTTTTTACAGCCTCGCAAATGTTCAAAAATATGAGCTTTTTTAATCTTCTCAAAAAATATTTAACTTACAAAAAAAAGTTTCGTACAAATGTTGTTTAAAAGACAATATTGAACAAAAAAATTATATTATATTTTTTCATTTAAACAAATATTTTTTGAGTTACACTACATTTATTATGAGTACTAAAATTTATTACCAATACTCTACTGATAGAGTAGGTTATTGATTTGACGCTATATTGTTTAAACCCAACTAAACACTAAATTGTACATTTCCAAACAAAAATTATATTATGTCAATTGCCACCGAAATTTCTGCTAATAATAAAGATAATTGTCATAAAACGGTCTTTAGTCAGGTGTCAGAGCTGGTAAAAATTGTGGCTGCCGAAAAACAGGGCTTAAATGTTCTATTATATGTGAAAATTGCAAAGGTCAATGGCGTACATATTCAACAGAAATAAAGTTTGAAGATTAAGAAAATTGTAATTTTGTTGTAGATATATTCTATGAAAATTTAGAATAGGAAAATGATTAAGAAAATGGAAAAAAATTTTGTTTGATACATTTGTCAAATAACTTTATAGTGGAAAAATCCTCCATCAATCACATATTTTTCACTAGTATGCATATAACTTGTAATTATGATATAAATAAGGAAAATCTTTATTATAAGCAGAAATTTTGGTGGTAATAGACATAATATAATTGTTGTTTGGAAATGTACAATTTAGAGTTTAGTTGGGTTTAAACAATATAGCGTCAAATCAATTACCTACTCTATCGATTGTATCTTAATATACAGTACGCTTTAATGATACTATAAATAAATAAACTCACACATATGCATTTATAACATTGTGTAAAAAGTAACCGTAAAATGAAAAAAGTTGGAAAATAAATTTTAGTACTCATATAAAATTTAGTGTAACTCAAAAAATATTTGTTTAAATGAAAAAATATACGATATATTTTTTGTTTAAAATTGTCTTTTAAACAACTTTTGTACGAAACTTTTTTTTGTAAGTTAAATATTTTCTGAGAAGATTAAAAAAGCTCATATTTTTTAACTTTTGCGAGGCTGTAAAAAATAAGCTCAAGTCCAATCAATGAGGATTTTTAGTATGTCATTATACATATCTTAATTCAAATTAAAGAAAAAAAAATTTGGTTAGGAATTTTTTCCGCCATTTGCCAAAATTACTCCTTCGTTGACTGGCCTAGTATATATATTTGTAACTCTCCAAACACCACGCGTTATCGCATATTCCGTCGTCTGTGGCCTTAAGACTAGACATCATAACGCATTCACCCCACACCACGCCTCGTTCAACAAACGACGGCAACACTATTACTATAAAAAATAATTTTTGGTTATCCTTTATTTTTGGTTTTTCCTTGGATGTGATAGCCGTTTCTCTGACTCCCTCTCCGGAATCGAACTCTGATTTCCCGTTACCCGTAACAACCAAGATATTGATAGTAACTACTATCATAACATGAAACTAAAAAGTGAAAAATAAATACGTTTAAAAAAACTAAAAAAACTCGCTTTTAAAGCATATTGAATTAAAAAGTTAAAAATAATTTTTAATTCGATGTGCTTTAAAAGCGTGTTTTTTTAGTTTTTTTAAACTATATTTATTCTCAACAATACATCAAAGATCACAAATCGAATCTAGTTGAAGAAATTAACCTCAATAATGGAAAATTTTACACTTGTTCCCCGTAAATAATGAATATCCACTAAAAAATTACGATTTTTAAAATCAGTTAATTTCGACATTTTTTTTCAGTTTTTTCTAAAAATTATCTTAATTTATTAACCATGTCTTTAAGTAATTTGACATTCATTTAAATAAGAAATACAATTATTATTTATACATTTTTATGATGCACTGCATAAAAAAATTTATTATAAGGGCATTTTAGAATTATCCGTATAAATTTTTAATATCATGTTAATTTTTTACACGTTTACTGTAATTATTAATTAAATTAAAAATAATTAATCATTAATATTTATTTTAAAATAAATATGTGCAATACTTGATTTGAAAAGTTAATAGCAGGTAAAAATGTAACATTTTATCTTCGATGCAATGCTGAGAAAATATTAATTTTAATATAATGTGTCTATTATTATTTTAGCTTCGATGCGAAGCTGAGAAGGTATTAATTTTACCATGATGATTTTTTTTTTTTATATATATACATCGTGCCATTTTTTCTCAGCTCTCGCTGGACCGATTTCTTTCAACAATACGTCAAAAGATCACAAATTGTATCTAGTTGAAGAAATTACCCTTAAAAATTAAAAAATTTTCCCTCGTTATCCGTAAATGAGGGAAACCTCCAATTTAAAAATCGGTAAATTTTGTCTTTTTTTCACTTTTTTTCTTAAAACTTCCATAACTTTTTCAAAAATAACAAATCAACATAATTTTTTTTACTAAAACCTTAGATATTTCCCATTCATTTGATATCATTTTTTTGAAAATTTAACACTTAACCTGCTCATTGGGGAGGATTTAAATTAGCAACTTTTTTACAAAAACTAACTTTTTCAACTTAAATTTTGAAAATGTTCCGGAAATACTACGTCCTTTCAACATATATAAAACTAAAGCTTATGTCATGTACTATAAAATTAAAAAAAAAATTTGTCCTGACGACCTATCTTCTATGCGCAAATGCTACCGAAATTAAAAATATGCTATTTTTGTATTAAAATTCTGGGTTTTGTTTTTATTTTAATTTAAAATATCTTAAAAGGGGAATACATTGACTTTCATGAATGTTATATAATTTAATGACATAGAATAATGTTCATAAGACATAAGAAATTAAACTTAATTAATTTTTTTTTGCTTTTTTAAAGTTGAAAAATTACCTTTTAAATATGACTTAGTTTAAATTGCTAATTTTATCATGCGACGAAAGCGACAAACAGTTGCCGAGTTGGTAACACTTGTGTCTTTTACGCTTAGAGTTCGAGGTTCGAATCCGCCTGTGATAATAAACATTTGGCATTTTATTTGAGTTAGAAAAAAATTTTCAAATCATTTGATTTTTATCTCATTTAGATTCAATAAAGATCAAGGATCCCATCACTATAGTCTCCCCCCGTGAGAAGAAATTTCTTATTCAAGTCCATATTATTTTACTATGTGATTTTATTTCTGGTTACGATTCATTTTGCCAATCCTCACTCGACCTACTTTTTTCAAAGATACGTCAAATGATTACAATTCGTATTTAGTATAAGTTATTACTCTTAAAAATTGAAAAAATATTCCTTATTCAAATAAAAAGTAGCTTAACCAGCTTTTTCCATACAAACAATTGAAATCATTCATTTCTAAAATTTTTAAAGTATATTGTCGAATTAGATTTGATATGATAAAAGTATTCAACTACAAAAGTAAATAATTTTACTTTGTAATTTATGAATTTTTAACTCTATTTGTGTGTGTTACTACCAGTCTATAATATTCCAAATTTTTTTGTAACATATTGCTATATAAATCGTTAAAAAAAAAAAAATGATTTTTAGTTACACCTGAATTTAACGATGGATTTTTACAATTATAATCAAATTTTATAATACGCTCAATTGAGTAAATCTTTTTAACAACTTTTTTTTTATTGGTTTTTTTTAAATATATAATCATTAAAATTAATTAAAATCTGAATATTTCCATTTCCATTGTAGAATCTTTTTAAACGCCAAAAGTTAATAAGAAATGATTACCATGATTTCTAATTAAGTGATCTATTACTATAAAAATGTAAAAAAATCGAACTTTTCTAATAAATGTACTGTAAATAGTAATTATAAAATTTCCTGATTGCATACTAATCTTAACAATTTCATTTTTTTCTATTTAATGATGTCAATTTCAAACTTGCAAGTTGAGCTAAAAAATATGGTAATAAATTATTCTTTTTTTATTAAAACTTTCACTTTAAAGGACAAAAAAATTAGGTTCAAAATGATTACTTTTAACATATTAAAAATCAAAATCTATGATAATTTGAAAACAATTAATTTTAAAAATTATTTAATATATAATTAAAACAATTACTAATCTGGGTATAATTAAGGAAATAGAAGTTGATGTTGCTTTTGTAATTATCCATCAATTTCTTAGAATTAAATACTATCTACAGATTTGCACGAAGCGTTTCTTATATTAGTGATTTTAATTACTGTCAGATTAAATCTATATTAGACACAACTATGCCGCGACCCCACTGTGCTGGGTTTTTTTTACATGTATATGAATAGATTGACTAAAATAATTAAGTAAATAATGTTTTTAAACTGAAGAATATTATAAAATAATATATTATGTCAGATAATTTTCTTCTATATATACAACTATTTAAAAAAAAAAAATTCATTAGTTATTCAGACTATAATATTTTAGTATACTGTGCTGGGTTTTTTTTTTTAATGTGTGTCTGTCACTACTTTTTCTCAGCTCTCACATAACCGATTTTTCTTAACAATACAACAAAGGTCACAAATCGTTTCTAATTGAAAAAATTACACTCAAAAATTGAAAATTTTGGCCTCATTCTCCGTAAATAGTGAAATTCCACTAAAAAATTAAAATTTTTAAAATCGGTTAATTTTCACATTTTTTTTCTAAAAATTGTTATAATTTATTGATAATTTATAAACCATGTCTTTACGCAATTTGACCTAATATAAATAAGAAATACGATTTTTATCTATACATTTTTATACTGCATTGCATAAATGTAAGGGCATTTTAGAATTATCCGTATAATCCGTAACGTCGATGTACTGATCAACAACCGCACAACGACGCCATCAACGCTGCTGACCTTTTGACGCCCGAGGATCACGCCGAACATCACAACGTCGACGACAGCCAAAGTGCCGCGATATTATGTGAAGATTATTATTATTGTGTTCATGTTTGTTTTATTTTTTGTTAAAATTACCTGTTGTTGCTCATCACAAAAGGGCCCACGGGTCTCTACCCTCAAAACCACTATCGTTCACATTTTTGCGACGTAAGGGGGTCAATTTTTAATATACTTATTAATTTTATACATATTTACTGAAATTATTAAATAAATTATAAAAGTTTGTATAGAAATGTAACATTATTGTAACTACTTATAAACATTTTATTTTATATTTATTGTGTATTGAACATTAATTACATGATTGGAAAATTTATTATTAAGATTATTGGTTATAATTTCAAAAATAGTATTTATTAAGCAAGTAAAATTACATTATTGCTCTCAATATAATAATTATCATTTTAGCTCATGACGATTTATTTAAACTATAATGTAATGGAATGTAAAATATAAATAATATTTTATCAGAAAACTAATTAATACAGCCATTCTTGTTAGCATAGTTGATTATTTCCAAAAAACCTCTTCGAGTAGCTTCATAAATGGTATTTATACTCCATGGACAATTATGTTCATGGGCATATTTTAAACAACGAAACTGACCTTTTGCAGCAGCAAGTCTTGTGGTGCCTTCATCCCATTTACATCCATTTTCATGGGCATATATTAAGCAACTTAAATTTCCGCGCATGGCAGCTGTAACTATTGTACCTTCATCCCAATTACATCCATTTTTATGAGCAAATTTCAGACAATCAATGCAACCACTTGCTACTGCTTCCCTTGTTGTACCCTCATCCCATTTACAACCGTTTTCATAGGCATATTTGATGCATTCTAATTGTCGATTGGCAGCAGCGCCTCTCATCGTACCTTCAGTCCAATTATATCCATGTTCATATGCATATTTTAAACAATCTAAATTACCATGTGCGGCAGCTGTATTTAATGTTTCTTCATGCCATGGACACTCATTTTCATGAGCATATTTTAAACAGTCTAAACAACCACTTGCTGCAGAAGCTCTAGTTGTGTCATAATCCCATGGACATCCATTTTCATGTGCATATTTTAAAATTTCAAAATTACCATTCATAGCTGCTGTTACTATTATACCGTCATACCATTTGCAACCGTTTTCAATTGCATATTTTAAGATTTCTAAATTACCATAACTGGCAGCAGCTTGTGTTGTATTTTCATCACACGGACATCCATTTTCAATTAGATAATTCAAAATTTTTAAACTACTTCTATTAATAGCCACAGTAAGTATACCGTCATCCCATGGACAACCATTTTTATGTGCATATTTTAAAATTTCAAAATTATCATTTATGACTGATATAACTATTGTACCGTCATCCCATAGACAACCATTTTTATGAGCATATTTTAAAAATTCTAAATTACCATAATTTGCAGCTACTTTTGTTGTTCCTTCAGGCCATGGAAATCCATTTTCATGTGTATATTTTAAAATTTTAAAATAACCATTTTCGATAGCCACAGTAGTTATCCTATCATCTAATGAACATCCGTTTTCATGTGCATATTTTAAAATTTCAAAATTACCATTTATGGCTGCTGTATCTAAGGTATCTTCATCCCATTTACAACCGTTTTCATGAGCATATTTTAAAAATTTTAAATTGCCATAATTTGCAGCTACTTTTGTTGTTCCTTCAGGCCATGAAAATCCATTTTCGTGTGCATATTTTAAAATTTTAAAATAACCATTATCAATAGCTACACTAATGATCCTATCATCTAATGGACATCCATTTTCATGTGCATATTTTAAAATTTCATATTTACCATTCATGGCTGCTGTAACTATTGTATCTTCATCCCATTTGCAACCGTTTTCATGAGCATATTTTAAAAATTCTAAATTACCATAATTTGCAGCTACTTTTGTTGTTCCTTCAGGCCATGGAAATCCATTTTCATGTAAATATTTTAAAATTTTAAAATAACCATTATCAATAGCTACATTAATGATCCTATCATCTAATGGACATCCATTTTCATATGCATATTTTAAAATTTCATATTTACCATTCATGGCTGCTGTAACTAATGTATCTTCATCCCATTTGCAACCGTTTTTATGAGCATATTTTAAAAATTCTAAGTTACCATAACTTACAGCTACCTTTGTTGTTCCTTCTGGCCATGGAAATCCATTTTCATGTGCATATTTTAAAATTTTTAAATAACCATTTTCAATAGCTACACTAATGATCCTATCATCTAATGGACATCCATTTTCATGTGCATATTTTAAAATTTCTAATTTACCATTCATGGCTGCTGTAACTAATGTATCTTCATCCCATTTGCAACCGTTTTTATGAGCATATTTTAAAAATTCTAAGTTACCATAACTTGCAGCTACTTTAGTTGTTCCTTCTGGCCATGGAAATCCATTTTCATGTGCATATTTTAAAATTTTAAAATAACCATTTTCAATAGCTACACTAATGATCCTATCATCTAATGGACATCCATTTTCATGTGCATATTTTAAAATTTCAAATTTACCATTCATGGCTGCTGTAACTATTGTATCTTCATCCCATTTGCAACCGTTTTTATGAGCATATTTTAAAAATTCTAAGTTACCATAACTTGCAGCTACTTTTGTTGTTCCTTCTGGCCATGGAAATCCATTTTCATGTGCATATTTTAAAATTTTAAAATAACCATTTTCAATAGCTACACTAATGATCCTATCATCTAATGGACATCCATTTTCATGTGCATATTTTAAAATTTCAAAATTACCATTCATGGCTGCTGTAACTATTGTATCTTCATCCCATTTGCAACCGTTTTTATGAGCATATTTTAAAAATTCTAAGTTACCATAACTTGCAGCTACTTTTGTTGTTCCTTCTGGCCATGGAAATCCATTTTCATGTGCATATTTTAAAATTTTAAAATAACCATTTTCAATAGCTACACTAATGATCCTATCATCTAATGGACATCCCTTTTCATGTGCATATTTTAAAATTTCAAAATTACCATTCATGGCTGCTGTAACTATTGTATCTTCATCCCATTTGCAACCGTTTTCATGAGCATATTTTATAAACCATAATATGCCATATCTCGCAGCTGCTTTTGTTGTTCCTTCAGGCCATGGAAATCCATTTTTATGTGCATATCTTAAAATTTCAAAATATCCATTATCCACAGCCACAATAGTTATCCTATCATCTAATGGACATCCGTTTTTATGTGCATATTTTAAAATGTCTAAATCACCCTTATTGATAGCCACAGTAATTATCCTATCATCTAAAGGACATCCATTTTTATGTGCATATTTTAAAATTTTAAAATGACAATTCACGGCAGCATTAACTAATGTATCTTCATCCCATTTGCAACCGTTTTCATGAGCATATATTAAAAAATCTAATTCATCTATTCTTGCTGCTACGTTTGTTGTTCCTTCAGGCCATGGAAATCCATTTTCATGTGCATATTTTAAAATTTCTAAATTGCCACTTATTTTAGCTTCTATAATTATGTCATCATTAAATCGACATCCATTTTCGCGAGCAAAATTTACACAATTTAAATTACCACCTATAGCAGCATCACTAGTTATGTCTTCATTCCAGTGACATCCATTTTCGCGTGCATATTTTAAACATTCGAAATGTCCGTTCAAAGCAGCTTTACTGATTGTTTCTTCATTCCAACTGCAGTCATTTTCATGTGCATATATTAAACATTCTAAATGCCCATTTGTTGCAGCTGCTATCGTTGTCTTTACATCCCACGGACATCCATTTTCATGTGCATATTTTAAACATTCGAAATGTCCATTCAAAGCCGCTTTACTTATTGTTGTTTTATTCCATGTGCAGTCATTGTCATGTGCATAGATTAAACATTCTAAATGCCCATTTAATGCAGCAGCTATCGTTGTGGTTACATCCCACGGACATCCATTTTCATGTGCATATTTTAAACATTCATAATGGCCATTCAAAGCTGCTTTTCTTGTTGTTTCTTCATTCCAACTGCAGTCATTTTCATGTGCATAGATCAAACATTCTAAATGCCCATTTGTTGCAGCATATATCGTTGTCCTTTCATCCCATGGACATCCATTTTCATGTGCATAGATCAAACATTCTAAATGCCCATTTTCAGCAGCATTTAGCGTTGTGCTTACATCCCATGGATATCCATTTTCATGAGCATATTTTAGGCATTTTAAATTACCATAACTGGCAGCAGCTTGTGTTGTTTTTTCATCACATGGACATTTATTTTCAAGTAAATAATTTAAAATTTTTAAACTACTTTTTTTAATAGACGCAGTAAGTATACCGTCATCCCATGGACATCCATTTTCATGTGCATACTTTAAACATTCATAATGTCCATTCAAAGCAGCTTTTCTTGTTGTTTCTTCATTCCAATTGCAGTCATTTTCATGTGCATATTTTAAACATTCTAAATGTCCATTTGCAGCAGCGTCTCTTGTTGTTTCTTCATTCCAACTGCAGTCATTTTCATGTGCATATTTTAAACATTCTAAATGTCCATTTTCAGCAGCGTAACTTGTTGTTTCTTCATCCCAGCTACAGCCATTTTCATGAACATATTTTAAGGTTTCTAAATTACCATAACTAGCGGCTGCTCTTGTTGTTTCTTTATCCCAGCTACAGCCATTTTCATGGGCATATTTTAAACATTCGAAATGTCCATTTGCAGCAGCTTCAGAAGTCGTATCATCATCCCATTCACAACCACTCTCGTAAGCTAGTTTTAATGTTACTATGTCACCAATTTCAGCAGCATATTCTGTGGTACCGTCTTCAAACGGGCATATTTTTTTTTCATTCAAATTTTTATTTAAAATACCTAAATGCGCACATTAATTAATTTTTATTATTGTATTCAAATTTAATTAGATTACATATAATTATGTAATCAAGTGTCTAAGATGCCTAAATTTTACCCCTTCTCTATTTTCTTTAGTTATATATATTTTGTTTGAATATATTCCTATTAAACAAAAAGTTAATTTGAAGTAACGATAGTAGAATTATTTTGTATAATATTAGATTGTTGATTGCAATTATTGATGGGCATTTTCAAATATTTTAAACTATTTGTTAGTATTCGACCAGGCCTACTATAAGTATGTGACTCACCAACACCACGTGTCATACGTCACGATGCAATGTCCCGCGAGTCCCGCAAGGCCGACTACGTCCCGCCGTAAATTATACGTTAAGTCTTCATCACGTTGTGACAACGTCGAGGATGTACGCCACCTGCTCCGAACGTATCGCACGACCAGACTCGATGAACCTATCAACACCTGCGCTCCATTGCCAATCAATGCTGTTTTTGACGCCTGAAGATCATGCCGGAAACCGCGTTGCCATTGCCAGCGAAAGCGCCGCGAAGATTTATTTTAATATTTTATAACCATTATATGTTAAGATAGCCCAATATACCGTTTTTAGATAATATTATTAGTTAACACCTGTTAAAACTAATTAGTAATTAATAATTTCATAAAAATTTCAAAATCGGGTAATGATATAGGCACCCTTCTTTGCCGATAATTCCACCTAAATTTTTTTAAATTGTTTCACATATTAGTTATTAGTTAAGAAATTTATTCGATAAACTTTAATAGACATAAATATTATAAAATAAAATTTACCTTCGTTAAATATCAAACATGAAATTATCATAAAAAAATATATCAATTGCCAGTTCTAAATTGCCAGAATAAAATAAAATTATCTTTTAGATTTCAATAGAGTACTTCAAAGAATGTG